GAGTTCACAGTTGGAAGTGGGAGACCTGCAAGCATCCTGTCAAGCTGTTTTAAGTTTCTTGGAAAAAAAAGTGTTTACTTAATTCAGTTTTATGGATTATTAAATCCAAAAGAGTTGTACCACATAAACTACTTTTAATGTTGTTTAATGTATGTATGGAATATTTACACCACCCCTTCAGCAGGTGTTAGTTTAGGGGAGAAGAACATCAGATAGAAAACACAAAGACCAAAACCATTACTTTTTTGGTTAAATTAGCTAAACATTCTCAACGAAGTAGGCTGTGGTTTTATACACATTTCAAATCATCACCCTGGTTTTAACTCTGAGCATGAGGCTAAACATCCACAGCTCCAGTTCACTGAAACTCAGCTGCTGCCCCAACGTTTAAACTGAGGCCGCTGTTGTGACAGTTAGCCAGAAACTGTAGTTTAAAAAGCTGCATATTTGGTTTTCTCAGGAAAATATTATAGAATAAACAGACAAAGGCCAGAGATAATTAGTTTTATTCAGGTTCACTTGTACACATTGTTCTCTTTTAGGCTAGATTTTTTTTCCATGGAAAAGTCAGAGCCAAATGCCATTGTGTTTCCATGGCAGCGGGTTTACTGATTGGTTCTGAACATTATCGTTATGTTAAAGCGACATATACATTAGTTTGATGTTACAAGTCATCACTTACGGATTTGTGACTCAACCAAATTTTGTAAAAGGATAGGATGAAATTAATGGCATTAACTAAAGACTTTATACCCAAACTTAAGAATAAACTGTCACAAACTTGGTGCAACCCAATTCCAGAGAGCTACCTTCCTACAGATCCTAGCACCAACCACAATTTGCCAAACCTGCTCCAGCTAATCAACCTCTTCCTAAGTCCCTGATTGGCTGGATCAGATGTATTAGAGTTAAGTAAGGGACAGGGCAGCTTACTGGATACAGGTTGGAATTGAACTCTGAAGGAAGGCAGCACTCCAGAACCAGGGTTGGAGACCACTGTTCAAGGCTATTATAGACATCACTTCATGATAAAAAGCCCTTTGTCCACCAGATGAGCTTGAAGTTATGTAAAAATACCACACAGGCCACTTCTCTACATTTACGTCATGGCTACTCCTCCTTCCAACCCGTCTACTCACACAGCACCTCCTCTTCCCTTTTCGCCTTATGTGAAGAGACGTGCGCAGAGCACAATGAAAAACTCATCGAATGTAGAGTGGACAAGCACATCAAACATTTATACCTAATTAACATGTGATTAAAGGCGGACAGCAGCTGTGAGACCACTCTCCACAGTCCAGCCTCAGCATCTGCTCAGCAAAATACATGAACAAAACAAGACACAGGTAGGCCAGGGCCTCTGATATATTAATATATTTATTATAATTTATTAGACTTTTTCACACTTTTTAATCGATATCCATGTTTAGGCACGCTATATGGAGATGGAGAAAAGGTCAGGGCTGTGAAGGTTTGGTCAGCATGCCTGTCTCGTACACAACAGCAGAAAAGAACATAACATGCTACCATAGTGGAGGAGATCAAAGCACTTATTTTCAACCATGTAGTGGTGAGTGTGCAGTCTTATGCATGGATATCGCATCAGAGAGAGTACAAACGTATTAGCACAGCGTAAGTATGGTTATGTAGGAAAAAAGTACACAATGTTTGTATGCATGTATGGATGCGAGCGTGCATGTATAAGTGTGGATGTCCTGTACCTGTGTGTATGTGTACATTTGTGCAGTTCTTCTGTGAGGACTGCTCTGCCCAAATCGTGCAGACGGATGAGCTGACACTCTTCTAACTTACCTGCTGATGTGCTACTGTACACTACTGTTCAAATGTTGAGAATGACTTGACATATAACAAATTTGCTGGCCCTCTCGTTACGAGATCACAAGTTTGATGCTTGATGATTCCCCTGGTGGGAGTCCAAAGCCCCTTTCAGACCTTCACTTTTACCTGAGAGTTTAAATTAAATGGGAAGTGTGAGCGCAAGTTGTTGGATTTGCAATCGCCGTAAAGCTGATGCAGCAACTGATCAGCACGAAAGGCAGAAAATTACCCATATATATTATTACCAAAATTGATATATTACTGGGAAATACAGCAACAGCTACATTATAGCCTGCAAAGTGGAACATTTTTGTGACCATTTTTTTTTTCACAGTTAAATTTGTAGGTTAGTTTCATGAGTGAAAATGCCTCAGGACTGTGTTTCGTACACGATTTTAGAGAGAAACGGCAAAAATCTACCCTACTTTTATGTGTGGATGCTACTTTGCAAAAGCGGCACAACATGGCAGGCAAAAAAAAAGTTTCTGTGACGCTCCAGTCAAACATTTGCAAGAGCAAAAAGTCATGGGGGTGTATTTTATTGTTACATTCATTCAATGCTATTCTAACTTCATTTGTCATTTCAGAATCATATGTGGTCTATTCATCATTCTAAAGACAATTTTTTTTATTATTTCTATATTATTAGAAATCTGTGTAGTAGCACAATCATATTAGAATCATTTTATATGTGTATCTGGAATGAAACTGGATTATTGAAATTGACATTGATACCAAACTTCTGAATGCTGATTCCTAACTTTTGAACAGTAGTGTAATGCAGCAGGACTTGCAGTGAAAATCTTTTTGGGCCTGCATTCAAAAGGAGAGCTGTTTTTGGAGGAGTCTAGACTAATATTATATGAACAGAATAGACCTGATCCTAGATCAGCTCTCTTTCTGGAGCCCACACATCATTAGAGTGAATCTGCTTTTGGCCCGAGGCAGAAGAACATCGAGGTACACAGACTTGAGCATTCCGAGGTATATCGCTTGTTAATTCAACTTGTATCATTTGCTCTTAGGCTTGGACTCTCATCCCTGTCTTAATATTAAAAATCCAAGGTAAATGTCCATGATCCCAGGGTGTAGCCATCTTTAACAACTTTGAGGCAAAGGGTCTAATATCTCCATGTTAACTGTGGGATATGCAACCGAAGGCAAACTGTTCAGTTCGTGTTTTGTGTTGCGTCCTGTCCTTCAAGAGTGTGGACTTTTTCAAAAGTTCAACACTGAAGAATATCTTGACTACCATCTTTCCTATTTTGACATTTTGCAATATCATGGAACATTAAGTGTCAAATTTCCCAGTGGTCATCAAATTACCTTTCCTCAAATGGTTCCCCTTCCAGAAGCATACAACAGTAAAAAAAAGCCCTCTCATTTCAACCAAAACAGAAGAGTCATAATTTATCACTGTAAAATGGTTGCAAATGGCCCAGGGACACCGAAACTCAGAACAGATGCTATTTAGTTTGAGTAATTCTGTAAATGGAAATAGTCTTTTGAACGACTTCAGCGCTATGCTCATAAGCTTCATATCTAACATTACTCTTTAAGGAAACTTCCTCAGTGCAGACAGAAAGTGTTTCTGCTATTTCAATATTCCAAAGTCACAGTACATTTATAGTTAATTCTACATTCCTTGTTAGTCACTAACAAGGATTAGAGGCCAACATTAATTATTAACATTAATAATTAGTGACAGCTAAATAAATATGACTATATCTAAAAAATGCCCTTGAACTTATACGACTCCCATGTAACAGGTTCTGAAACAAGGCGGTCAGCAGCTTTCTACAGTCAGAAGAGCAATTATATGCTTCTCTTACCACTATATCACTACACACCACGTCAATAATCACAAAGCCATTGGCGCCGCGTCCTTCTCTGTAGCAGTGATGCTGAGGCTTCATCCAGCCATGAAATGGTAGCTCTTGGCTTAATTGGAACACGCCTTCCCCATGTGCATCTCAGTTGCAGCACTCTTCTTGTAAACCATGGGTTAGCTAACACGAGATACAGTCTAATCGATAACATTCAATCTGCTACAGATTCCCATCTTGCAACATGAATCGACTTCATGCACCCTTTAATTTCACATGCCACTCTCGCCCTTCAACACAAACGGGAACTGTTCCTTTAGATCAATTCCTAATTTCCTTCGTCGGCTTCACTGGAAGGCTAGTGATATGTGTCATGCTACAGTTGTGAGAGTGCGGTTAGTTTAAGCTACTGGACGACTTGAGGTTTAAGACAAAGGTGACAATGACCAAGCAATGCCAAGATTAGTCCACTTGACCCAGCAGTTCCATGTGCTTCATAGTAATAAAGATAACAGTGTATGGCCATAATCACACGACAGTGACAACTCAGGAAAGACTGGCAGACAGTGAACGATACTCCCCTTGATAGACATCAAATCTCTTTTTTTTCTAGACACAATTCCTCCTTTTCTAGATTTTTATAATCATATCTTAATAATGTTATTTCATATCTAGTTTGTTTCTTTTCGTGGCAGCATGACGATCTAGAGGAGGGAGGTCTAATCTTCTGTAGAACACACCCATCCTTCCTTCATGAGAAGAATTACTGGCCATTTTCCAATGTTTTACAATGGATACAGTTCCAATGGAAGTTCCCACTTCAGGTCCCATTTAGGTCAATTTCCATGGGTGTCACGCATGTCAAACTGTCTTCATTTCTGGGGATGAGAGTATACAATTTCTACTCCAGTGCTGAAAGTAGATGGGGTTGGGGTGTAGCACCCCCTGTGGAAGGGTGGGGTGGTCTGTCGCTTTAAGACACCTGGTCAAAGTCACAGTGCAGTTCAGACTGAGGGAGGGACTAGCGGGGGACTTGGTGCTGTGATAGAGGAACGTTGTGGGAGCGCGATCACGGGGACAAGCAGAACAAGAACAAAGAGATGACTCGTTAAACGAGGCTACAACAGACAGTTCACACGACAGAAGGAGACAGCAGACTGAGAGGACGAAACAGGGGGAGGAGGGAGGGTTAGATAATACACAGATGTGCAAAATGCAATTCTTACGCAGTTCTTCCGTTGTCATGTAGAGAGGTGAAGAGGAAGTCACAGGAACAGGATGAGAAAGTGAGAAAAGAGACACAGGAATAGATAAAAAAAGAAAAAAGGAAAGAAGCCAGTACCCCTACTACAAGGATTAGGAGGTCTAGTGTGTGGCAGAATATCATGCTAGTCTGCACAGCGTAACTAACAGGTTCTATACAGGTTACTGTCAGGAAGAGGAAGGTTAAAGTGCTACATTTGATGAGATTACATACAGTGAGTGGGGCTACTCTGGCAGTTAGTCTCAAAATGTCCAGTTCAGAAAAGTAGAAGATCCGTGGTCCACATCCTAGAAGTTCTTCTCGGTAGAGGAAGAAGAACGCAGAAGAGAAGCCTTGAGGGGCTGGTCTTGGGGGGGGGAGTGGAGGGGAGACAAAAGGAGAGAAGAGGAGGTGACACAATTGTAGATCAGGTCTGGTAGAGGAGCTGAAGAGAATGGTTCAGGAGATCCTGATGTGGTCTGGGAGGCTGGTACGTGTGCTGCTGACATTTGAGAAGACGGTCACAGGGTCATGTGGTGTGGCTGGTGGGTCTCCAGGAATGCTCACGTTATGGAGAACTCTCCAGAGAGGCTGCAGAGAAGGACAGAGAAAGAGAGAGGTGGGGAGGAGAGGACATGAAGATGGGGTGGGAGGGAGAAAATGAGGAATGAGGGGGAAAAGCGAGCGCGAAAGAGTGTGAGAGAAATGACATGAGGGATTGAGGGAGATCGAGCGGAAGGAAGGAAATTAAATGAAAAATAACAAATACAATTTGAGGAAATGGAAGAGGTAAAAATGAACATGGGCAGGGAAGCAGAAAGCAAAGCACAAGACATTTTAAAAACGAATGTCGATGGGAAGAATTTAGCCAGATTAAAAATAAAAAAAGACAGAGGAGGAGGAAACAACAGGAGGAGGGAGAAGAAGAGAAAGAACACAAGCTTAAAACGGTGGTTATAGTGGTAAATCAATAGAAACATGGTTTAGCTCTAGCATAAAAAGACAGTGAAGGGTCCCACAGTATCTGTATATGTCAGTGAACTGGCACTCCACTAGCTCATCTGCCCTGACAGAGATAGAGAGAGAGAGAGCAAACATTCATATGCCTCTGACATGCCCCGACATGCAACGTGTGACGTGCGGGATCACAACACAACTGGCTCAAGACGTATCTGACACTCAGCAGTCGACAAGTGCAGTTAGATCTTACAGGAAAACACCAGCTGAGGTTACCGTATCAATCTGTATTGAACGAATCACAGCTAAAGTGGTCAGCATCATAAATCCGTACATACTCAACATACTAAATCACAATCTCCATCTCTTGGAGGACCTTATTAGAGCGTATACACTCGAAGAACATGCATTGCCTCCTGGCGAGTATCTGAAATTCATTATCATGGAGCGTCTTGACAAGCTGTCAACGCAACGCAGGGCCTCCATCTCAAGCAGATGCACAGGCGCTGTTGTTGAGTGGGGAGTATGAATGGCTGGCTCTGGAGGCTTGGAGGCTGAACCATAAAGCAGCTATTTTGTTTCTGGAGATTCTGAATCAAGGTCAAGAATTTTCATTTACTTTGCCAGAAGGAGCACCAACATGACAGCTACCATACGTGCACACGCAAGCTCACCAAGGCGCGCACACACACTTTGTCAGGTCAATTGTTGGGAGAAGTGTTTTAAGCCCAATCTCTGAGGCCTAAAAGTAGTAAATGGAGAGTTTTTGGGGAACTTGCTGTTAGGCAGAACAAAAATAACCCATCCTTATGCTTACTGTTAGTAGGAGTTTAAGGGTTTTAAAACAGTGGGCCTCCATGACACCTTGACGTTAGGAAACCGCAACCAGAATCAAAATTTCCAATGTAACAGAGCCACCCCTAACTACCTACCACTCCGAAGACAGGTTAGTCATTTCAAAGACGATCACTAACGTTTATGTTCTGTTTAAGTTTTGTTTGTTTTGTTGAAACCAAACAATAAAAATTGCCATATTCACTATATGTTGTAGGTACACAGTGAATCATTCACTAAAGCCTAACTAAATATTACTGGAGTAGCCTGTTAACCTTTTGCTTTCTACCACGCTGCTCAGCCTAGACTTCAAACATTTAATTTTACTTTATTTAATGCAATTTGTGACTACAACCTGAAGCATTAGCGCTATCCTGCTGGTGTGGGTTTCCTCTTTTTCAGTGATACTCAAAAAAGCAAGTTGTGTTCTAATAGCAACCCCCCTGTGGAGACAATCCATCAAGAACTTGAATCTTAAATCAATCTTTTTTTTATTAACAAATAGATTTTAATCAAGTAATCAGGACAGCCATATTAATATCCCTCTAAATCTCCATCAAAAAATCAAGTGAGCCAGACAGAGTTCTCATTCTTGGCCAGTTGCCCTCTTCTCTTTGATTAACCATCCTAGAGCCAAACGAACGACGACAGTATGAGTTTAGCTCAGAGAACGCACTTGATTCTCCTTCACCCCACTGACTCCATCCTCAAACAATGTGATTTACTCACAATGGAACACAGGAAGAATACACACAGTTCATATGCTACACATGACATGACTACGTTCTGTTTCCTTTCCAAACAAAGGATGTTTATCATCGTAACCTTCCCTTGACGCAATTTATAGTGCAATAAAAGATGACGAAGATAGAGTGTTAGATCTTTTTATCTCTTCCTGCTCCATACTGCCTCGGTGGAAATGATAGATTGGATTCAAATGAATTACAGATGAGCAGCCCAGAGAGAGAGAGAGAGAGAGAAAGAGAGATCCTAGAGAGAGCTCTGGAGGAGAAGGAGCTGGAGGCTACCTATGCATTCATAATCAGTTCGTACCTCTCCCATTGAATTCCAGCTCAGCCCCTGACTGTTCCAAGCCTAGCTTCTCTCTGCCTAAAACAGCCCAAAGCCCTTTGAGCTCCATCATGACTGACAGCTCTGCCTTTGTAGTGGCTGAGGAGCTTCCTGATTGGATGACTTGCAAGGTTTTTTGGTGACTCTGATCTACTGTGGCTTCTGTTTTGGCAAATGACCTGCGGCTACGTTCGAGAACACTGAAGGGGGATAACCGATTAGAAACGGCAGTGGAGGTGAGGCCTTGCATGTTTGGTACTGAGTGCTGAAGGTATATGCTTGCCATCCATTCATGCAGTGAACTTCTAAGGAATTAAATGTACCAGTGAGGAAAGGAACCCACAAACCACCATGGTGTTTCACAGATGTGTGGGCTCACTGATTAATGGCGATTAGATGGAAAGCTATGTAAGAAGTGACAAGGTGCAGTTATTTATTCACCACAGCAGTGCTCTGAAGTGGGCTGCTCTTGAATTTATTACCATAGAATGGGCAATCACTGTAAACCTAGGTCCACACCAAAACACAGCAGTTGGTCTACTTCAGAACCCACATGTGAGTTCAGAGCATTGTTGGGCTTTAAGCCACTGCTTAGTTCTCACCAGCTTAAAAACACTGCTGGATATTTCTCATAGACCACACATAAGAGCATAGTTTTGGATCTGCTGCTTGTAGCCTGTCAGCATACGTACAAAGCTTAAATAGGTCGTCCTGTTCCCCCACACTTTTAGTTCCTGCCCTGATTTCTGATAACAAACAAAAGAGGGAAGTTTTTCAAACAAAACTGCTCATCAGCATAACCCGCAGAGGTTAAGTAAATAGGTCTATTTATGCAGACGGAGTCGTTTGCTCTTTGTTCTGACTCTCATCATTGACGCTCCCATTTGTCGCGTTTGCTTCCTCCCCTCCCGCTCCCTCTCTCCCTCCCTGGCTGTGCTGAGTATAGAAGAGGCACGAGGAGAAGGACTGTGGAGAAAGGAGGCAGACAACAGCTGGTTTAGGCACAGCACCGGTTCCCCTGCTGACTGCAGGAAGAGCTGTTGAATAAATCACTTGAAACAGCATCCTAATACGCTTTTAAAACATTCAACATTTGACAATTAAACTCTCTTCTTGGTTTAATCAGAGTCAGATGAATTCATCGATTACATTTTTGACCATGCATAGTGTGAAGAGCCACTTAGCTGAATATACACTATTAAACCTATTTCATATTCTAAGCAATAGACTATTTAACAGCTCAAGAGTCAAATGATGGCCGTTTCTGGTGATTAAAAATGATTATAATAATTAGATTACATAATGCAGTTGTTAAGTCATTATTGTTTTTTTTTAAACTGACATACTTTCACTGAACCTGCATATTCTATTAATCTATTGAGCATTTCAGACCGTGATAAACCTCTGAAGATGAGAGCTGTGGTGGGTAACAGAATCCCACCACTAAGGACTTTCAGTAAAATGAACAAAATTTATGAAAGACTGAAAGCTTTATAGTGCTGCGTTCAGTCATTCCCCAAACTGGTTGAGGAGATGAGCTAGGCAGATGCTAATTATGCTAAGCTAAACAGCTCTTATGCTGTACTGAAAAAAGAGAAGGAACGAAAGCCTTTGATGTGGAAATGCTGTGGACTTCTAGGGGGTTAACTGCACTCTTTACACCGTGTGTATGAGTAAACGTGTAGTGTGTATAATTAGTAGGGCTGTCAAATTATTAAAATAATTATTTACAGTTAATTGCATTCTTTTGGGCAGTTATTTGCGAATAATTGCGTTTGTCTTATTTGCTCAAATTTGAAAGAAAAAAAAAGAACCAAAAAGCAGTGCATTTTGCTCTAGCTATATGAGTTGACAAAATATGGCTCATACGAACATGTTTAATATATTCAATAATTCATTAATATTATTATACAATCACCCTTAACATTAAAATCACAGAATTAGGGTGAACGTAGTCCAATTTTCATTACCAAATGTCCAGTCAGAGTAACAGTGGCTGCAACAGCACTCTTGCTCGTTGTGTTAAATCTTATTTTGAGAACTTATTTTGAGAACTCCAGCTTTCCACTTTTCTATTACTTTTGTTAGTTTGTTGGTCACTTGCTTAGTTGTCCCAAGATCACTGTCCAGGGTAGTCTGCTGAATTACTGACACCTTGTTTTGTTGCAAGCGATACTGTAGACTTGATGTACTACAGTGATAAACAAATTCACGGCATGGCAGTAACTGGAAATAACTTGTTGTATCAAGAGAGCAATCAATGAAACATCATTTAAAACCTGTATTTGAATAAGAGTCACAAAGTCAGTCAGTAATATACAGTCTGGGAGCAGCTGGTTGGAACTACAGAAGATTTGAAGGGTCAAAGCATAAAACCGTGTTCACAGCGTTAAAAAATGAACGCTTTATTTATTTTTCAACTTTGACATCACTAATAATGAGGTCTAAATAAATATATCATCCTATGTTCTTTAGCTACAATTGGAAATTTGGGTTCATCAATAAAGTCTGTCTCTGTGTTTGCCTCTCTATCTATGTCCCTATTAATAAATGCATTAATTACATAATTAAGCAATTACTTGAGAAAGAGGTTAAACAGGCAAAAAGTGTAGCTTTCCCTTCAAAACTAGTTGATTTATTCAACAGCTCTTCACACAGTCTGCAGGGGAGCTCAGCATAAGAGGCAGGTCTTAACCAGCTGTTCTCTGTATCTTTTCTTCACTCTGTTT